GGTAAAGGCACTATGTACCACACAAGCATACCAACCTGAGTTTGATCTCTGGAACCCATGTAAAGGTAAGAGAGAACCAGATTCATGAAATTATCTTCTGATCCCCATAGGCACATTCACATACACACAATAACAAGTTTCTTAAAAATGAGGCTGTGGTGGCACATGCCTTTAATCCCACCAACTGCAAGGCAGACAGGTGGATGTCTGGGTTCCAAGGCCAGACTGCTCTACAGAATGAGTTCCAGGTCAGCCAGGGCTACAGAGAAACTGTCTTGAAAAACTACACACACACACACACACACACACACACACACACACACACACACACACGAGGGAAAGAGACTTCTGCATGGGATCAGTGTGCATGGAGTGAGAAATAAGTGTGCAAAAATAGAAGCTCAAATCAAAGGCTAGGGCCATTTGTTGCTCTTGCAGATGACTTGCATTCAATTCCCAGCACCCACATGGCTGCTCACAACCATCTCTGTAACTTGCCTCTGCTGACCTCTGTAGGTACTGTTTACATGAAGGGAAACCAGTCATACACATAAAAATAAATTGAAGAAAAAAAAGCTTTCAATAATGGTAGTTGATCTAGTGTCAAAATGACCTCTGTAACCCTGCTTTTCTTTGCCCTCTCCCCAGCACATAGCAGGTGTGTGCATACACCCCCGATTTGGGGGCTGGTTTGCTATCCGAGGGGTAATGTTGCTGCCAGGGATTGAAGTGCCAAATTTGCCACTCAGAAAGCCCCCTGATTGTGTGCCTACAAGAGCTGGCCGAATCACTCTACTTGAAGGCTTCAATTTCCATTGGCGTGACTGGACTTACCGGGATGCTGTGACTCCTGAAGAGCGGTACTCAGAAGAACAGAAGATCTATTTTTCCACCCCACCTGCCCAACGATTGGCCCTATTAGGCTTAGCCCAGCCCTCAGAACACCCTACTACTACAACTGAGCATGCCAGCTCCACACTTACCAACCCTCTGAGTCCTATCAGGGAACGAAGCTGGCTTAGCCCCAGTGTCTCACCCCCTGCATCCCCAGGCCCCTGATACTTTTGCCCTTCTGAGATTTCCACTTATGGTAGGTTTGTTTAGAATTGGGGATTTGAAAAAGCATTATTTTTGTTGTTTTTCAAGACAGGGTTTCTCTGTAGCTTTGGGGCCTGTCCTGAAACAGGACACAAAGATACTATCTCTGCCTGTGTGCTGGGATCAAAGGCATGTGCCACCACTGCCTTGACTTTTTTTTTTTTTGCTTGTTTTTCAAGAAAGGGTTTCTGTGTACCCCTGGCTTTCCTGGAATTCACTCTGTAGACCAAGCTGTCCTCCAACTTAAAGAGATCTGCTTGCCTCTGCCTCCCAAGTGGTATGCTACCACCACCCAGTGAAAAAAGCAGATTTTGAGTATTATTTCCTAGACGCTCTTAAAAAGTCAAGACAAATCACATGCCAAGGCTTCAAATGGGACTCCTACCATTACTATTTTTGTGTAGCACTTCAAGATACTAAGTTGTGATTCTCAATCTTCCTAATGCTGTGACACTTTAATAGTTCTTTCCTCATGTTGTGATAATCCCCAATCATAATTGTTATTGAAGTAACTAATTTTGTTAGTTAAGAATCGTATTGTAAATGTTTTCTGATAGTGAAAAGTGCTCTACCCCAAAGGGGTCTTGACCCAGAGGCTGAGAACTGCTGATTTAGTGGGTCCTAGGAGCATACACCCTTTAAATGGTACACATTGTGTAGGGCTATGCCAAGTTATCATTTAAATAAACTACTGTTGGAAACTGAGGCTGGATCTATGCTCAGTTATGGAACGAACCTTGGCTGAACTCTGGCTTTCCCTTGGCCGTACATTTAGAGCCTTCAGTTATTCCACAAAGGTTAGATGATTTAATAACTAGCCCTAAATAGCAAGATTAGCCTAGCATATAACCACTAGTCCCACCATCATAGTAACCTTTCTTGTTCATAATTCCTGATCTTTCTACCCATATCAACATCCATTGTTTGTGATTTTCTATATTCTGCTTGCAAGAATACCTAGTTCTCAACCATTCTTACTTCCCCTGCCCCATTTTCCTACATCCTTGCTGTGCTGACTATATAAGCTCCGGGTAGAAAAATAAAGTTTGCCACTTGATCAGAATCTTGTCTTGTAGTCAATCCCCCGAGTCTCTTGCCCCCATCCCCTTTTTGGGTTTTTGGGTTCTAGATTGAAGTTCCTCAGGTCGAGGCAAACTACTTTGACACTATCTGACCTGTAGTAACTGGTTATGTTATTACTGAAGGCTTAAGGAATCTTACACTTCTGCTCATCAAATACATCTAGTTTGATTCTGGAATGTTGGAAGGCCACAGCACATAATTGTTTTCTCTGCTCTCACCAAGAATCCAGAAGAAATTTCTTGCTAACACTGAGGATCAAAAAGGAGTATTCTTCTGGCTATGATTATAGCCAGAATGGAAGAGGTTGAATATAATCCTATCCAAAGCCACTAACTTTGCCTATTCTCTCCAAAGAGATAGAAGCCTCCCAATCCTGATTTTTCAAGTCTCACTGCCAGGGTCTAAGATGGTGGCTTAGTTGGTGAAGTGCTTGTCATGTGTAATATATTGGTAAACTGTCATGTGATGGATGCACCCAAAAGGCACAAAAAGGATCAGAGATTTACCTGTGGGAAACATAAGGTCCTGTCTTTCAAGGGGGAAAAAGCTGCATCAACTGAAAGTACATACATGCACAGGAAAGTGATAGAAAAACAGACCCAAGCTCTACTACACTGCTGGCCATAGCACAATTTATGATACTCCCATTAAGATTACTTTTTTGCTGGGAGGGTTGCAAGGAAACAAAAGAATAGAATTAGAGGCCATGCATTGGTGGCACACACCTTTAATCCCAGCACTCTTTTGAGTTGGAGGCCAGGACAACCTTCAAAGCCAGAGTAACCCTGTCTCAAACAAACAAAAGCCAGTAATAAGCTCATTAGATAACGCTTGCTAAGCCTGCCATGATGGAGAGAATTGATTCACTGAAATTTTCCTCTGACCCCATATACACCAGATACACCCCTGCCCAAAAATTTAATTTAAAAGAATGAAAACGCAATGGCCAAGCCTATCAGTTCTTTAATCCCAGAACTCTTGAGATGAGTGCAAGATTAAAGCCAACCCAGGCTACAAGGCAAGACTTTGCATTTGTGTAGACCAGAAGCATGTGCTGGCCTACTTCTTGAGGCTAGAATTAGAGGAAGTTGTGAGCCACCTGATATAGTAGAAATAGTAAAAACCCAGAGACAGATATAGGGATTAAAGCTGAAGATCAGAGAGGCAAAGCAGCAAGCCATTGTTGAGTTCTCAACTCTACCAATACTCAGACCAAAGGATTGATCATATCCTTTGATTGCATCTCCAACTGCACTGAGTTGCCTTATGCTTTTTAGTACTAGGATTAAAGACAAAAGCATAAACTGTTTCTCTTTTAGACTGATTCAGTCTCATGTAGCCCTGAGTGGCCTTGAACTCTGAGGTCTCGAGTCCTGGGAATAAAGGTGAATGCCACCATTGCCTGGCCTCTGGCTAGTTTTGCATTCTGATCTCCAGGCAAGCCTTAATAGATCAAAAACAGTTTATCACAACCTGATTATTATTTTTTTTTTTCTGAGACAGTCTCACTGAACTTGATATTTATTGAGGTTTGCTGGCCAGCAAGCTTCAGCAATCTGCCTGTCTCACTGACTTCTCTGCACTAGATTACAGAAACAGCATGGCTCTGGCATTTGGGGACTGGACTCAGACCCACACATACACTGTTCAATTTAATAACTAGCAACCAAGTGTAAAGATCAAGTAAAACATCAAGTCAGGTGTTAAAGAAATTCTTCTTTGTTGGATAACTGACCAGTGCAGGGTGGAGTATTCTCCACACAGGTAAACTTTATCTTCACTCCTCTAGTGCTGGGATTATAGGTATGTCCCACCACACCCTGTTTATGTGGCAGTAGGCTTTGTGCACACAAGGCATAGTAATTAATTTCTATCAACTTGACAGCAAACTATAATCACCCAGGAGAGGAAACCCCAATTGAGGAATTACCTAAATCAGACTGGACTGTGAGCATTCTATTCTGTAGGTCATTATTTTGTTGTTGTTGGCAGCTAACTCACTTAAGAGGTTCAGTCCACTGTACACAATACCAGCTGGTCCTGGACCAAGTTGCTTTTAGCCACATAATTAACACAGCAATGAGAAGCTCCAGGCAAGTACTCTACCCTATGAGCTACACCTCCAGCCCTGAGGCAGCTCTTAAACCTAATTGTTTAAGAACAGCAGGGGTTATGGAGATAGCTTGACCATAAAGTGATCTTGTGAAGAAGTGAGTTTGCACCATGGAACTACTATTAAAATAAATAAATGAAAGCCAGGTATAGCAGGCCATGCCTATAAAACTAGCCTTGGAGAAGCAGATCCTGAGAGTTTGCTAGCCACACCTACATGTCAAGTAGGTCAATGAGAGACTGCCTCAAATAGTAAGGGACTGGTGAAATGGTTCAGTGGTTAGGAGCACTTGTTGCTCTTGCAGTAGACCCAGGTTCAACTTCCAACACCCACATAGTATGCATGCAAGGAAAACATTCATACATATAAAACCTAAAAAAAAGTATAAACAGCACCAAGCAACCCCCTTTTTTGGCTCCCATATTGACACACACACATGAATCCCCATATAAAAAATAAATTCCTCTTTAAAATCTAATATTGCCTTAAAATGAATCACCAAGTTCTCGGAGTTCAAGTTTAATAAGACACTAAAAAAAGAACAAACAGGTTGATTTCAGTAACAGGTGTACAGTCTACCCACAACACAGCACAGGCCATTCCCAATAATGGAAGAAAGGCTAACTGCCCCAGCACTGTAGGAAAGGCATGTTTTGGATCACACATTTTGTTTTGTGTTTAAGCATGAACAGAGTATAAGAGTTTCCTGGTGCAGCCTGGCAGAAAAATGGCCCCAAGTGCTCACTTCTGCTTAGAGAAATATTCTTTGCTCTTTTGGACATCAGGCTTGATGGTATCACTACCAGGTTTCCAGCCAGCTGGGCACACTGCAAGAGAAAGGGATCATTAATCATCAATCTGTTCAATAGTGTGTATCTCCCTCCCCCACCTCCACAAACAAAGGGCTGTCTCCTTGTGATGGCACACATGCTAGCAGGATATGAAGAAATGACAGCAGGAAGAAGTCTAGGTTACAAATTTTCCATGGCACAATGCCTTTATTCCTAGCACTCGGAGGCAGAGGATCTCTGAGTTCGAGGCCAGCCTGATCTACAGAGTCAGTGCCAGGACAGGCTCCAAAACAATACAGATTTCTCTGTCTCGAAAAACAAAAAAAGAAGAGGCAGGCAGATCTCTGGAAATTCAAGGCTGGCCTAGTCTACTACATAGGGAATTCCAGGCAAGTGAGACCTGTTTCAAAAACAAGGTTGCCATACTGAAATCTCATCTGTTAAACATTACCTGTTTTTTTTTTTTAGGGGGGGGTTGTTTTGTTTGGGAGGGGGCTTCTTTTGACACAGGATTTCTTTGGCTGTCCTTGAACTCACTCTGTAGAACAGACTGGCCTCAAACTCAGAGATCCATCTATCTGCTGCCTATGCCTCCTGAGTGTTTGGATTAAAGTCATGCATGACCAGCACCATGGCTCATTTTCTGGCTTTTGTGGCACCATAGCTAAATAAGATCCTAAACTTATGTAGAAGGGACGAAGAGAGGGAGGGAGGGAGGGGGAGAGGGAGGGAGGGAGGGAGGGAGGGAGGGAGGGAGGAAGGGAGGAAGGAAGGAAGGAATGTATAAACAAACCTAGGCCAAAATTTTGCCAATAAGTACTAATGGGTCCAAAAAGTATTCCTATCTAGGAAACAGCAAGAACCAGGCCTCAGAGTTTACCTGTAATTCTGATGACCTGAGATCCACATGGCAGAAGAAAAACTGAATCACACAAGTCATCCTCTGAGCTCCACACAAGCCAAAACAGACATGGGACCCACACACACATACAATAATAATAATGGTTGCAGAAAGCTCTGCAGTAGCCAGATGGTGGTGGCACAAACCTTTAATCCCAGCACTCGGGAGGCAGAGGAGGCAGATCTCTATGAGTTCATGAGTTCAAGGCCAGCCTGGTCTACTGAGTGAGTTCTAGGACAACCTCCAAAGCTACAGAGAAACCCTGTTTCGGGGAAAAAAAAAAAAGTGGGGCCAGCAAAATGGCATAGTGGGTAAACACACTTCCCAGAAAAGTCTGACAAGCTAAGCTAAGTTTTCTGATGACGAGAACCCTCAATGGAAGGAAAGAACTGACACTAGAGCTGCCCTCTGACTCCACTAATGCATCATGGCATGCATCCACACACACAAAATGAAATTTTATTAGAGGAAGATCTGTAGGAGTCTAAAGACAGTCTGGGCTACACAGTTGAAGGCTAGCACTGATTATATAGACTTTACAAAGATTAAGCTTTCTTTTTATGTATATGGATGTTTTCCCCCACCCTATTTCTCCTCCCCCATAAGGTTTAGTTTGTTTTTAACTTTTCTTTCATTTTTATTTTTCTATTCACCACAATGTCCCAAGAAGGCCAGAAGAGGGTATCAGGTTCCCTTCAATTGGAGTTACAAGATAGTCATGAGCTGCCCTGTGGGTTCCGGTAATCAAACCATAGTCCTCTGAATAGGCAACCAGTGTTCTTAATCCCTGAGCCATTCTCCAGCATTTATTATTCTTAATTGTGTGTTTGTGTGTGTGTGTGTGTGTGTGTGTGTGTGTGTGTGTGTGTGTGTATGTATATATATGAGTACCCAGAGACAGATCCTTTGGAGCCCAAATTACAGGCATTTATAAGCAATCTGATATGAATGCTAAGTATTGAATCCAGGCTTTCTGCAAGAGCTAACTCCTAACTACTAAGCCATTTTCTAGTTCCCTTCCTCAAATATTTTTGGGAGAACTTCTCTTCCCTTTGCTACCTGACACTTGCAATGTAGAATATAGTGGCCTTGCTAGGCAGTAGGGTCACATGCCTTTAATACCAGACACAGACTTTAACTCTTTAGCCCAGGTTGCCTTGAATTTGCATGTGCTGGATTATAGAACTGAGCCAGTACAAGTAGCAAGAACAGACTTTTACATGACAAAATATTAACTCTATAATGTTACCCTACCTTCTATTTCTCACTCACCCCACCCTCTTTTGAGCAGATAACCCCACAACTCACTGTAGCACTGTAACTCACTCAACAGACCAGCATGAGCCTAACCTCCTGATTCTCAGGCCTCTTCCTCCCAAAAGTACTAAATTATACTAAGTTACATCCCCAGCCCCAAAATATTCTTGACAGCACGTGGGCTGGACATGGAACCTCAGGGAGTTTCATGAGTTTTTTGCCTACATGTGTGCATATGTACCACACGAATGCCTTGTGCCTTTGGAGGTTAGAAGAGGGCACTGGATTTCTCAGAACTAGAGTTATAGATTATCTATGATACATCGTGTGTGTTGGGGATCAAATCCAGGTACAAATTTAACCTCCCCAGCTATTAAAAAAAAACTTTTTTAAAAATGAGCATTTGTGTTTTGCCTACATGTATGTCTGTGTAAGGGTCCCAGATCCCCTGGAACTAGAATTACAGACAGTTGTTAGCTGCTGTGTGGATACTGGGATTTGAACCCCAGTCCTCTGGAAGAGCAGTCAGGGATCTTAAACTGATTCATCTCTCTTTATTTATACATTTAAAAAAAAAAAACCTTTCACCAAGTGTGGTGCATGCACTTAATCCCAGCACTTGGAGGCAGGTGGATCTCTTGAGTTTGAGGCCAGCCTGGTAAAGAGAGCAAGTTTTAGCTGCACAGCCAAGAGAAACCCTGTTTTGTTTTTTCTCTCTCCTCTCCCCTCTCCACAGGGTTTATTATATAGTTCTGGATGATCTAGAACAAAAAAATCCACCCCGCGCCGCCCCTTTGAGGCAGGGTTTTATTATGTAGCCCTGGCTGACTTCCACCTGTCCACCAAGCTCATATCAAAACTTCAAAAATCCTCTAGTCTCTGCTACCTGACTGCTGGGATTAACAGTGAGATCCTCATGAAAATTGGCAGTCAGTGATTCCAAATTAGCAGAAGAGAGGTGAAGATATGAAGTTTGAACAAAACTTCCAGGCTAATCTATTTATTAACCCACTCCCACAGACCACTCTAATTCAGACTTGTATTTCTTACATACCCTTTTACCCAACAGCCCTTGCACCCTACCATACCAATGTCTCATTAGCAGGCAGATGACTTACCTTCACCATGTTTGTCAGTAAACTGGAAGGCCTGGACTAGTCTCAGAATCTCATCCACAGATCGGCCAACAGGAAGATCATTTATAGTGATCTGTCGAAGGATACCTTTATCATCGATAATAAAAAGGCCCCTGGGTAGAAGGGATTGGAGGATTGAAAAAGGCATTACAAGTCAAAATTTTGCATTGTTGGAAGTCAAGGAAAAGGGCTGTTCTATGAGTTATATTAGTCTACTATTAGTGAGACCTCTATATTGAATAATGCAAGGAGAAATAGATATAGCTCAGTTGGCAGTGTACTTGCTTAGCATGCAGAAAACCCTGGGTTTTTAAACACAACACACATAATAAATATATTTAAAATTAATCAATGTAATCCCAACACTGAGGAGGTAGAAATAGGCAAATCATTAGAACTCACTTTCCAGCCAGTCCAGCCTACATGGCAAGTCTGTAGCCAATGAGACACTATCTCTAAAAAACAGTGGACAGCTGGGCATTGGTGACATACACCTTTAATCCCAGTACTTGGGAGGCAGAGACAGGTGGATCTCTTGTAGACCAGGCTGGTCTTGAACAGCTTGGTCTACAAGAGCTAGTTCCAGTACAAAAAACAGTGGGCAATCAGGAACAACACTCCAGGTTGTCTTCTGACAGTCACAGGACACATATACACAATGAAAATGACATGAGGAAGGATGCTCCTCAGATTATGTGTTCTAACTTTTCTAAATAAATGACTATTAGCTAACTAAACTATTCTCATAGTGACTGCCACCTCCCACTCTTAAGTACATACCTGAAAGAGATACCTTCATCAGCCTTTAAGACTCCATAATCCTGAGCAATGGTGCGCTTTGGATCTGATACCAAGGGAATGTTCATGGGTCCCAATCCTCCTTGTTTCTTGGGTGTATTAATCCTACAGCAAAAGCCATTATTACAATCCATTCATTCAGTGCCTGGAGAGATGGCTCAACAGTAAGAGTACTGGCTGTTCTTCCAGAGGACCCAGGTTCAATTCCTAGCACCCACGTGGCATTTCACAACTGTCTGTAACTCTAGTTCCAGGGATCAGACACCCTCACACAGTCATACATGCAAGCCAAACACCAATGCAATAAAAAAAAAAAAAAAAAAAAAAAAACAACGGAGGGAGAGAGGCGAGGGAGAGGGAACTGGGATCGACATGTAAAATAAAAAACAAATAATTAAAAATAAATAAACAAAACTAAAAAGAAAAAAAGAATCCATTCATTCATACCTTTGTGAAGCAAGACTATTAACTGAACCTATCCCTCACATTTTGGGTACCCTTTCACCAAAAATTTTGCAACAGTAACCTGGATGGCTTGACAACACTTAAGTGGTCACCAGTATAAATCAGACATCAATAATTCAAGCTGCTTTGCCTCTGCTGCTAGGTAGTAAAAGAAAGTTGGAGCCCAGAAGCCAAACCTCAAATTACTGCCAGGTGTTGTGGTATATGCCTGTTGACCACCTACTCTTGAGGCTAAAGTTGGAGATACTACTAGGTGAAAGAAAATATGCTCCAGTTACATATTAATCCTGACTCAAAAAAAAAAAAAAAAAAAAAAAAAAAGAAAAAGAAAAACCCCACATGCCAAATGGATCAAAACTTACCATGCCAGATGACAGAAGTGAGAATCCACAGAAGCTCCAATCACCTGGCAGTTCAGTTTCTTAAATTCTTCTGCCCTATCACTGAAAGCAATGATCTCAGTGGGGCACACAAAAGTAAAATCAAGAGGGTAAAAGAAGAAAACGACATATTTTCCTAGGAGGAAAAAAACAGTAATCAAGAGGTTAGCTTTGAAATAAGAGTTTCTGATTTAGGGGTGCTGATACATGCATGTGACTCCAGCACTCAAGACAGAAGGATTGCTTGGAGCTTGAGGCCAGCCTGAACTACACAGTTAAGAACCAGATGAATCAGTGTTAGAGACACTCTCAATGAAAACAAATTTCCAGGAGATTCCTTTGCAAAAACATTTTCCTATGAAAGACTTTTTTTTTCCCTCTCTAAGACAGGGTTTCTCTGTGTAGCTTTGGAGCCTGTCCTGGAACTTGTTCTGTAAACCAGGCTGGCCTCAAACTCAAGAGATCCACCTGCCTCTCTCTGCCTCCCAAGTGCTGGGATTAAAGGCACGCACCACCACTGCTCAACTGTACTGGGGGGGAGTGGGGTGACAAGGATGTAATTCATTTAGTAAATGATCAATACCAGTGCTTACAAACAGTACCTAGAAAATCAAGTGTGGTGGTAGACACAGAAAACAAAGGCAAAAATGGATTGATTTCTCTCCTCTACTGTAAAATGATGAACCCAAAAAGGAAGTCAGGGTGGGATATAGAGTCAGGAAGACTGAAAGTTGGGAGACCAGCCTGAGCTACATAGTGAACTCCAGGCTAGCTCCAAGATGCATACTGAGAGTCTCCAAAAAACCGCCTACCCCAAAACACACCCACAAAAATACTGGGTATGGTAGCTAATTCTTCCTGTGATCCCACTTTCAGGAGACAAAAGTAGGAAAATCAAAAGCTCAATACCAGCCTAGGCTATTTAATAAGTTCCAAGCTAACATGGACTATAGAAGGAGATCCTATGTCAAAAAACAACTGCCTGGTGGTAATGTCAAACACCTTTAATCCTAGCACTCAGGAGGTAGATGAATCTCTGTGAGTTCAAGTCTAGCCGGGTCTACAGAGCAAGTTCTAGGATAGCCAAAGAAATACTGTTTCAAAAAACAAAAAACAAAACCAACAACAAAAGTTAGAGATGGAAATTCAAGGCCATTATCCTAGGACTTGGGTGGTAGGGACAGGAGCATCAGGAGTTTGTGGTCATCTGGCAGTTAAGAGCTAGCTGTTCTAGAGGTCCCAGATTTAATTCCTAGCATCCACATGATGACTCACAACTGCCTGTAATTCTGTCTCTTCCAGCACCAGATATGATATAGACACATATGCAGACACACATAAAATAACTAAATTTAAAAAAACAAAACCAAAAACCCAACAACAAAGACAGGAAGTCAAAGCCTTTATGAAAGGATGGAAGGATAATTCGGCAATCCCTTGGGTATTAAATAGTCTCCCTTTACATCTTGTTATGGGCAGGGTTTCTTGTTTCTGCTGTTAAGATGTAGCACTACGACTAGTTGGCTCCATCTATCTTGAATAGGACTAGTGGGATTATAGGATCCAACCAAAGAAGGAGGGCAGTTGTGGTGGCACATGCCTTTCTTTAATCCCAGCACTCAGGCTATGTGGAATCTCTGTGAGTTCAAGGACAGCCTCCAAAGCTACAGAGAAACCCTGTCTAGAAAATTAATACATAAAAGTCTGACCAACGAACTCTATTTTTCATGTAGGTCCATGAATTAAAATAAATTTGAGTCCTCAGGCTTGTACAGCAAGCACTTTTACATGATGAGCATGTTCCCAGCCTTCATGGATAATGATTAAGTAATTTCATGAATTACAACAGATGTGTTCCTATCAAGTCCAACAGAAAAGGCCTAGAAAATTTTCACAACTACATGTACCTAGCCAGAGTACTGGTAGGTAACAGGACTTCTAGCTGCAATTTCACACTTTGGTTAAATTCACTAAAGTAAATCTTCAAATGGGCCATGAAGCCTTTCACCATACCAAATGGCTGAACCACTGGAACATTTCCAAATATCCACTTATTTTCAGGTAGCAACTATGTCTGAAAGTTAAAAACAAGCAGTCCCTGACTCATCTAAGCAATCTCTGTGGCTTTGCTTAACAAGCATGTTGAAGCCTCAGTAGACCAAGCCCTACAGGGCAGAGAGCAACTACTCCCTAGACCATGTGCCAGGGTCACCTCCCTAGAGGTGCTTTTTAAGCTGTTTGCTGTAAGAGATCTTCTCCATAGGATACATAGTATCTGTTCTCATCCCAACAACAAAGTATGATGTCAGGTAATTTAACTGAATATTTTCCCCAAAAGCTATCTCCAGAAACTCATATACCACTAAGAAAGGTACTTTTAACGGCAGAGTTTGAGGCTTGCACCTAAGGAATCTATGTTCTCAGTGGTCCCAAAAGACTTAGTTGCTGAGACTGCAAGGCAGGAAAGGAAGAATGGTGACTAGAGAGAGTTCAGTAGTTAAAGGTATTTGTGCTGCTGTTGCAAAGGACTCTGGTTGGGATCCAAGCAGCCACATGGCAGCTCACAACCATTTGTAACTACACTTCCAGGAGTTCTAACACCCATGCACACAAGCAGTGTACACATACACACACACAAGCAAAACATTCACACATTAAAAAAAATAAATACATCTTTAAAAACTAATTAAGGGGTTGAAGAGATGGCTCAGCTGTTGAAGGCTAGGCTCACAACCAAAAATATAAAAACTAATTAAGGTGGTCAATTTATTCTTTTTTTATTTTATTTTGAGATGGAGTCTCACTATACAGCTTTGGTTCACCTAAAACTCTGAGATCCACTTGATATATCACTACTGCAACATGAAATGTGATTGCAATTATCAAGTCATCCCTGTGAGCAGAAGCAAACAGCTCCAAAAACTTGATTTCTAAGACTAAACGTACTCAAGTTTTCTTAAAACAAGAGATGAAGGGGACTATAAGACAGCTCAGCAGTTAATCACAATGACTGCTCTTTCAGAGGCCCCAGTATTGATGTGAGGGCTCACAAATATCTGTAATTCCAGTCCCAGGGAATCCAATGCCCTCCTATTTGTATGCATATGGTGCGAAGGGAAAACCCTCCCACACATAAAAATAAAAAATGTTTTACAAATTTTCCAATTTAAAAGAGGAAAGGCTGGAAGAAAGATGGCTCAGCAGTTATGAGCACTGCCTGCTCTTTCAAAGGTCCTGAGTTCAATTCTCAGCAACCACATGGTGGCTCACAACCATCTGCAATGAGATCTGGTGCCCTCTTCTGGCCTGCAGGCACACAGGCAGAACAGTGTATAAATAATAACTAAATAAACCTTTAAAATAAGTAAATGAAAGGAGGGGAGAAGGCCAAGCATTGATGGCACTTTTAATGGAAGCAGAGGTAGGCAGATCTCTAGGATTTTGACACCACCCTAGTCTACATATCAAGGTCCAGGTCAGCCAGGGGACAGTGGTTCAATTCCCAGTACCCACATGGCCACTCACAACTCTCTGTAACTCCAGTTCCTGAGTATCTCACACCTTTACTCTAATGCATATAAAATAAAATTAAAACACAAATTATATATAAAAAAGAATCTCCCTGACAATATAAGTAGACTAACAAGGTAATCATGTAAATGTAAGAGGTTTAGACCTAATAACTACCCTTGTAATTAATCACTGTTGTAACCATGACTTGACTTCAACATGGAGACATGTTGCCCAATATAATTAATTCTCACCTCTGTATTCACTTAGGGTGATATCTTTGAATTGTCCATCTGGCATAACAGCTGTGGCTTTGAAGTTGGGGGCAGGATACCCAATTTTTGCATTTCCAGAAGACATTTTGCTAACAGCTGAAAAAGCAACAACAAAAAATTGAAACAAGCCTGTTTTTCTAAATATAGACACCAGCTTTCACCTACCTAGGAACTTAACTGGAGTTCAATCAAGGAACTGTCCAGTGGCCTAAATACATTGTTTTATATTATAATAGTAAGCACAGGCTACAACCCAAATGCTCCAACTTCTGGGTAAAACAAGACTGAATATCAGCCTTTGTTTTCACTACAAACAGCTCCACAGTGTGTCTAAATTAAGTCAGCTCTACTACCCTTTCTGAACCAGTTTTTGCAACAGCATTTTATTTTACATATCCATTGGGTAGAAGTAGGAAAGAAGGGGAACATAAGAATCCAAGCAACACAATGCCAGGAAACCAGCATTTTATTCTTTTCAATAGTTCTCTCTGAAAAACTAGTTTGAGACCAGTGTCAGTTAAGAGAGACCATGTCCTTTCTTTGTTTTTTAAGGTTTCTGTTAGGAAAGATGGAGCATAATTTGGGCACTCTGGATGCTGAGGCAGGAGGATACTGAAGTTTCTTCTGGATCAGTTAAACTATGTAAATTAAGGCACATGCTACCCGACCTTCGTTCAATCCCCTGCACCTGTACAAAGATGGACCAAAAACTCACTTCTACAGGTTGCCTTAACACCAGGGCCCACATACATACATAAATGCCTTTTTTTTTTTTAGGTTTCTTCCTTCTGGGCCAAGATCTTGGTATACCAAGAGTCACTTTACCGGTAGGAATTGGGGTAACAAGTGTAATGCCAACTTGGGAAGTAGATGAGCAAGAAAGTTCAAGGCTAGCCAAATTAGGCAGCCCTAGTTAGATAAATTGTTAAGATTTACACCATTAGAAGCTTTAGAGATGGCTCAACGGTTAAGAGCCTGCACTGCTCTTTGCAGAGGACCCTAGTTTGCTTTCCAACACACACTTCGGGTAGTTCACAACCACCTTTAACTAGCTCCAGGAAAGATCTGACACTTCTAACCTCCTCGAGCAGCCGCACTCTCTCATGCACGTACGACACAGTCGACACACACATAATGAAAAACTAAGTTTACACCACTCAAATCTGAATGCTCCTAGTTTCAAACTGCTTGGTTCATAACACCAAATAACCAAAAGAAAGGCTAGAAGCGTCGTTCATCGCGAAATTTTCTTTTAAAAACATCATCTTTAATTTAACCAAAGTTTTCTTCAAGGGCATGCCACAATTTAGCAATACCTATCTGGTATGACACACCATCTTCTTTATCAACTTGCTTTGCGAGTTGGCCTGCCACTTCCAAAGCCCAGCCAACCCCGAAAAACTGACTTCAGACCGCCGCGAAGCCTCTTTTAAAGGAATCGGCCCGGAATGCCGGAGACAGTCACGCGGCGACCTCACCGGAGGTAGTTCCTGCCACTCTCGCTCACCCACCCCAGCACTTCAGAAAGCACCACGACACAAGCGGACTGCGCGCAGTGAGCTTGGTCGAGAAGACTCCAGCACTACCAGTCCCACCGCGCCAATCTATGCTCTCCATAAGACAGCCCGGAGGGCGGGAAACTCAACGTTACACTCCTCAGGTTCCAACAGGTCCGGGAACTAAAGGCCACGTGAAGAACCCGAGTAGCGTCCGAGCACTTGTGGCTCCAGGCCTCGTCCCGCTGCTCAGACCGTGACCGCCCCTGCGGAACCGGGACCGGTCTGGGGCAGAAGGAACCGCTGACGTGAGGCGCGAGCCCCGTCTCGGCGGCCGCGACACCCGCACACTCACCAGGGCCGAGTCACAGCTCTCCGACAAAAGAACAACCTAAGCGAGCGAGGAAGACGACGCCCGAGACGCGCGCGGGGGCGCACTTTTTATAGCCCACAAAGTTATCGCGAGACTCGGAGCGGGCCGGGGGTGCGAGAGGAGGGGGATCTGGCTGAGCCCCGCCCCGGCCCGACCGCCCTGCTGGGATGACTCAGCGCTTTCCCCGATGGGACTGAAGTTTGGGGGACCATAGAAAAGAAAACAATAAAAAAAAAAAAAAAAAAAAAAAGGTCAAGCTTTCGTTGCTGCTGTTCAGAGAGATGGGACAAGGCTGCCCTTTGAGGCATCTCTTTTAATCCGGGATACCTGGGAAACCTCGCCGCTCTTTATTCCCAGGACCCCTATATGTGGTGCATTCAAGACCCAAGCTGGAATAAGGGTCTTCCAATCTGCTCACCGGAGACCACGCCTAATTACGTCATGTTCGGGAAACTGTGCACCCCAATATTTCCCAATTGCATCCCGGCCTCAAAAAAGTCTGCTCTAGGATAGAGAAGACGGCTCAGCGGCTAAGAGCACACTGGCTGCTCTTCCAGAGGACCTGGGTTCAATTTCCCAGTACCCACGTGGCAGCTCACAACTGCCTGTAACTCCCTTTCCAGTGAATCCAACACCTGCACACAAACATACACGCAGGCATAACACCAATGAACATAAAATAATAAAAAGAAGTAAATCATTAAAAAAAAAAAAAAAAAAACCCGCTCTAGTCCTCAGTAAACCCACACCACTTAAGGCACCCTACTGATGACTGTATACTGACTGCTTTTCTGTCTTGCATCTGTTTTTCCCACACTCTTAAATCTTTCTGAATCTGATCTTGTCACTAATCTGATTTGTGGTTTTAAAAACTGGGGTTCTGTGGTCAGTTTCCTGAGTTAATAGTCACTGTTCCAGCTGCAGTGGTGGCTCACGACTATCCCAGCTCTGGGGAGGCAGAGGCAGGTGCATCTCAGAGATCCAGGCCAGTCTAGTCTACAGATCAAATTCCAGGATAGTTAGCACTAAATAGTGAGACCCTGTCCCCCACAAAAAGTCACTGTTCTATATGTGACCTTACGTAAAATGTAATCCTATTAAGCCTTGTCTTTTCTTGCCTATAAAATGGAATACTTCTATTATATCTTTTTGGAGGGTGGCAGTTCAAGGCAGGGTTTCTCTGTACAGCCCTTTCCTGGAACATGCTCTGTAGACCAGGCTGGCCTCAAACTCAAGAGATCCATCTGCCTCTGCCTCTGCCTCCTGAATGCTGGTTAATTATAGTATCTTAATGGAAATAATTAACGTTAATTTGAATAATACCTAATTTTTCTATGATGGTAGGTTTTTGTTTTTTTGAGACAAGTATCTCATTTATAGTCAAGGCTGGATTTGAATTCATGATCCTCCTGCCTCAGCATCCCTGAGAGCCAGAATCATTGGCATGCATCAGCAAACCTGGCTCATAATACTTAGTTCTTATATTATTGTTACTATTACTAATTAATAAAGATGTTAACTAGTAGTTTTATTGTACATTTTCCATCTTCCTCACTTAAAACTCAGAACTGCTTCAAGTCTATTTGTTCATACCAGGAAAACCAGTTCCCCTGAGTTGTCCCCGAGAGGACATACCTGACCTAAAGACTCAGATAAGCATTACTTCTTGTAAGCTGTTCCTGACCTTGATTTATGTGTGCAATCCCTCTAACAGTGTTACTGACTTACTTTCATTTGTCCCTTCAATTGACCATTATGCCTAAACAATAACCTGTACAGCCATGAAAAAAATAAAATCCTTTAGTCTTACTTACATGTCTGCTTCTTCCTGCTAGCATGGTTTTCTAGAGCAGTGGTGCAGTGGTTCTTAACCTTCCTAATGCTGCCGTGCCACCCTTTTTTTTGTTTTTTTGTTTTTTTGAGACAGGGTTTCCCTGTATTGCTTTGAAGCCTGTCCTGGAACTAACTCTGTAGAGGAGCCTCGAACTCACAGAGATCTGCCTGCCTCTGCCTCCAGTGCTGGGACTAAAGTCGTGTGCCACCAACGCCCGGCTTGCTGCCACAATTTAATACAGTTTCTCATGTTGTAGTGACCCCCAACCATAACATTATTTTCATTTGTACTTCATAACTGCAAGTTTGCTACTGTTATGAATCATGTTGTAAATATCTGTGTTTTCTGGTGGTCTTAGCGACCCCTGTGAAAGGGTCCTTCAACCCACAGGTTGAGAACCACTATTCCAGACTGTGGATTTGGATTACATCCATCTCTGTGTCCCTAAATCACAACACAGCAAGTGATATAGAAGGGGAATTCTGGGCTTTTAATGAATGGTTTTTTTTTTTTTTGAGACAAGTTGTCCTGGAACTTGCTATGTAGACTAGGCTGTCCTCATATCCACAGATATTCTCCTGCTTGTGTCTCCCTTGTGCTGGTATTACAGGAATGTATTAGTATGCTTGTCCCCTCTCTAACTCTCTTGACTCTTGTTAGTAACATAATAGGATAAGAAATAGGGGAAATGCAATGTCATTCTAGTTGGATATTTCAAATTTTGGGTATTTAACCATCTCTTACAACAATAGTGATTTTATTTTTCCATCTCAGCATGAGGTTGACCATTTATTTTGTATTATTCATTTCCAGTTAGTGGAGAAATTAACCCCATTTGTTCCCATGACCCTGGTAACTAGGACAGAAATAGGGAAGTGCTATGTCATGCTGCCTGAGCATCTGGCTTTTTAATTTTTTTCTTTTCCATTTTTCAATTCTCTTGACAACAGTAATTTTTTGTTGAGTTGCTTTTTGGAATGTGTGTGTGTGTTTGCAGGTACATGTACCTGTACACTTGAGCAGAGACAGGAGAAAGAGGTTGGGTGTTATATCTTTGTAAAAAAACATAGAACCTTAAGCAAAGCTGGTGAAAGATGCTCTGGTCTCTGCCCACACAGCACTGGGAGTTTATAGATAGATCTATGCAACTACAAAAGCCCCACCCACCCAAGGAGCTGGAATCCAAACTCAAGTCTTCATGTTCATACAGCAAGCCTTTTTACCCACTGAAACATCTCTCCTGACCCTTGTAACTTTGTTTTTTCCTTCTTATCCAGAAGATGAACAGTTGTAGTCATTACTCATTTCTTTCTTATGAGAACAAGGTGAGACAGGGAACAGCTTTTTAGGGGTCAGTTTTTCCCTTCCACCTGTGGTCCCTAGAGCTGGAAGTCAGTTCATCAGGTTTGGCCTCCTCAGGGTCCTTTACCTGCTGAGCCATTTTTCCTAGCCATTGTTTTTGAAACCAAGTCTCTCTATATGGCCTAGAATGACTTGAGGCAGTCCCCCTACTCAGCCTCTGAAGTTCTGATAGATTTCACACATAATCAAGTTTTATATTTTGATGCTACAGATTGGACCTCAGATCTTCCATGAGCTAGGCAGAAGCTATAGAACAAGCTACATATATAGTCCACACCCCAGTTGCAGGTGACTTGACAACCTCTGGCCTCTAAGGGCACTAGATACATACACACACATGCACGCACATGCATGCACACACACACAAGAAAACACTCATACATGTAAAATGCATTTCTAAAAAATATTAAAAAAAAAAAAAGAAAGAAAGAAAATTACCATCTGGGTTAGCAAGAAAGGTCAGTGGGTAAATGCACTTGCTGCCAATCTTATAACCTCATTTTTTTTAAATTTTGAATTACTATTAGAACTTTAAATATTAGTATTTATATATTTTTAATGTGATGTTGTTTCCTAGAACCTGACGAACCATTAAAATTAAGTTTTGAGACTAAGAGTTAGAATCACAATTAAAATACTGTAGAGAAGACCCTCACACTGACTAAGTTGTTGAAGAGCTCACAATTAATATTATGCCTACAACCTCGTTCTAATTCCCAGAACCTACAAGGTGGATTGAGAGAATGCACTCCCTTAAATTGTCCTCTAATCTCCACTTGTATGCCCTAGCAGGCAGATGGCAGGTCCTGTCTCAAAATAAATATTAAAAAAAAAAAAAACCTAAGATAAAATCCTAAATTAAAGAACATCTATATTGTTAAGGTTAAAACCCTTCTTTTTATTTAGACAGAAAAGAGGAGATGATGGGAGATGTCATTCTGTATATGTTCTCATACTGGTTAATAAATAAAGCACTGTTAGAGGAGGAAAGAGAAAGTAGGAGGGTCAAGATGGAGAGTCTGGAGAAAGCAGAACCGCCAGCCGCCTCTCGCTGGTAAGACCACGTGAAAATACATAGAAATGGGTTAATACTTAAGACAGAGCTGGTCGATAAGAAACAAGTAACTGGCCAACAGAATTATATCAAATACAGAGTCTCTATGCATTATTTGGGGCTGGCGTGGTGGCGGGACAAGACCAGGTGGTGGGCAGAAAAACCCTACACCTCACACTATATAAATGAAAATGTATCATGTTCATGAATGGGAAGAATCAATTCAGGATTTAATCAATTAATCAATTCAGCACTTATTATTCTGGCAGAGGACCTGAGTTCTATTCCACAGGCACACACACATGTGCACATATACACACAGACATACATAATTGAAAGGAATAATGACTAAAAAGGTTTCTTCTTAGCCCAATTTAAGTAAATATGGCTTTTTTGTAGTTGTTTGTTTGTTTGTTTGAAACAGGGTTTCTCTGTGTAGTCCTGGATGTCCTGGAATTCTCTCTGTAGACCAGGCTAACCTCAAAGTCAGAGATCCCTCTGCCTCTGTCTTCCCAGAGTTGGAACTAAAGGTGTGCAATACCACAGCCTACCCAGCTTTTGTTTTTCAACTTTTAAAATGATTTATTTAGTTTTATTTAAGTGTGTATGAGAATACTGCTTACATGTGTATGTGTATTACATGCATGCTTAACACACAAGGAGTCCAGAAGATGGTTTTGAATCTACAGGAACTGGAGTTATAGACAGTTGTGAGCCATCTTGTGGGAACTGAACTCAGGTCCTCTGGAAGAGCAAGT